TGTTGGACTTTTTTTAATGTTTTTTTTTTTTTTTTTTTTTTTAAGGTCTCGTTCTAACTCGTGGCAAGGGGGAAGTTCAAGGCGAGGCGGCCGGAGCAGTGGAGGCCACCGGCGGGGAGACAGCAGTAGTGGCAGCCCTTCTCAGTCCCCCTCCAGACAAAACCACAGTCCCTCACCTTCTTTGAAGGGAGCCCCGGCCTCTACTGCCATTACAGTATCTGACAAACTAAGAAAGTAAGATCATATGAACAGCTCTCAAATAAATCCATCACAGAGCTCCCTGCTGCTGCTGCTGTACCATAAATGATACATACCTTCAAGTGTCTCAAACCATCTGGCAAAAAATAATTAATATGGGCAGTCATTATATCATGTTTATATAATGAACAAGGCTTAACAGCAGTATCCTGCCATATAAAAAACGTTTTAACATTTGAGTTAAAAAGGTCCAAATAAAGGCTCTGCTCTGATACAGACACCAGAGATGCTGTTAATTTAACTAGTCCTGGAACAGACACCGGTGCTTTACAAGTTCTCTAAATTAGTCAGATGAGAAACTTTTTCAACACGAATCCTAATCTTTGTCTTTCCCTCCTGTGTAGGCCTGAAAATCCGGGTGGTAAAGAGACGGGAGCTGCCAAAGTCAGTAAGAATTTGTTCTAGCTGGGTTTCTTGCTAAAAGCCTACGCCTCCCTCATCCCTGACAGGCTGACATGGTTGTCCACCAGACTGGGATGTAGAAGCCATTTTTGTCCTTAAAGAAAGAAAAATGTTGTGTTTTTTCTTATCCTAATGACTTCAGGATAAGATGTGCACTGTTGTAAAAAGAAAAAAAAGCCCATAGAAATTACATTTTAACCATTAATGCTGAAGGGACTGCACATAGAACCCATCCTAATATTTACTGATCAGCTTTGGCTTTGGTCTTAATGAAACTGTGATGTATGAGTACACAGACCTGTGTGTGCATAACCTTTTACACAGTACATTTCTTTGTACTTACAAAAACCATTCATTTGTCCTCATGATCACTCAAGGTTTCCAGCGTCGGACACTGTGAAATTAGCAGCAGAAAGGTTCTCATGTTTTTGATCAGCTTTGGCTGCACTCTGTGTGAGACTGGAAGCCACTGATCTGGTTCTGTGTTAGTTTGTGACAATTACAATCTGGCCTCTTTTGTTCCATTGTTTGTCTTAACTTTATGCTTGTGCTTACTCGGCGTCTACGCACTCCCTGTGCGGTGTAAGTACAGGAGTTATCAGAAGTTTAAAAAAAACAAAAAACAATTAGGTCTGTGTAGCGTTTGTTCATCAGATTTCGCTGTTACTTCAGCAGCAGCAGCAGCGTCGTCGTATTGGAGATCCTCTAGAAGTTTCTGATCAAACATTATATTCAGTGTAAACGCAGGAATGAAAAGCTGTCTGTGTTTTTCACTCTCGACCAGCTCATGTCCATAAAAAAATTAATTTATTATTGAAAACATGTTCCTTTTAATCTGTGCCCCCGGGCCCTTCACTGTCCTAAACTGGTTTCTCCTCTCCATGGTAAAACGCAAACATGGTTGAACTCGGAATGCTCTTCTGTTAATTTTGCCCGCAGGGATTTGACCTGCCGTTTTTCTTGCCTGGCCAGGTTTTAACAGCCCAGTCGAGGGTGTGTCAGAGTCAAAACACCACCGTCTCCTCCTGAGTTCTGTTGAAATCAACGGAGCTTGAACCTGCTCTTAGTTCACTGTCCATCACCGTCTCCCTGTTTTCAGTTGTCCTCGGCCCCCCTCTCTCTCTCCAAGTGCCCTCACTTTTATCAATTGCCATAAAGCGTAGCAGCGTTGTGCCCTAACCCCTTCTCCTGAACACACACGCTTCATTTATCTGCTCATCTCTCAGTTAACTAAGCAAACATCACATGCAGTAGATTTAATTTCTGCTTTATTTCCTCCCCGCCTTCGGAGCAGATAAAGATGACGTTATTGTGATAGTGTAACTAAGTAATCCCTTGCATCTTAACGTTTTGCGTACACACATATACACACACGCTTATATTATTTCAGGCCGTGAAAAGATGTGCTAACACAAGTCTTATCACCTGCAGCCCAAGATGACCCCGCAGGAGCGACTGAAGCTACGAATGCAAAAAGCACTCAACAGGCAGTGTGAGTTCACAGGGCACAGTGTGCTTCTTACTGTTGTGTGCATGTGTTTCAGTACAAATATACTGGATCCTCAGTCAGACGTTTGACATTAAACTACAAATGTTCACATGGTGTTTTTTTTTTTTGTCCCGCCGCTGCAGCCAAGGCGGATAAAAGAGCTGCTCAGGTGAAGATTCAGCAGCAGGAACACAAACGACAGGTGTGGTTGTCTGTGTCAGTTTGTGTGTGTGTGTGTGTTTAGATTTGGTGGAATACTTTAATATTTACTGCACTGGGTTGTTCATTTGACAGGAGCGAGAAGGAGAACTACGAGCCATGGCACGGAAGATACGCATGAAGTAAGGCTCTGTGTCATGACCAGATTTTTATCATTTTATTTATTATGAATATTTATTTGCAAAAGACTAACTTAATCTGTTCGTAGGGAGCGGGAGCGTCGCGAAAAGGAGAGAGATGAATGGGAAAGACAGTACGGCAGACAGAGTCACTCACCGTCTCCCACCAAACATAGTGAGTGTTTTAGTCAGTCTATTATAATGTGGGTTCAGTGCAGGTAAGGTTGATAACCTGAACGTTTATTGTTTGTAGCGGTACGCGCTGTAATCTGCTGGATCAAAAGTGTTCAATCTGACAGTTGGTCTGACAGTTTAATGTGCTTTAAATGGCTCTGCCGTTGTTTTCATCATGACCTTGTCGTTTCTCCCTCAGGCCGAGAACACAACTCCCACAGAAGGTATGTGAGAGCACTTTTTTTTTATCAAATATGTGATGCACAGCGCCCCCGAGGCTGTAAACCAGTTTGTGTAAGAAAGAAGCTGCAACAAATCATATATTGTGTATTTGTATTGCCTTAAATATCAATATATACCAGAATTGTTATCTGAAATTGAAACAGTTCAAACACAGAAATGACTCGGTGTCAGTTTAAGAGATGCCAATGTGAAGGAACCAGACCCTGTCAAGTGCTGTTGTCTGTCTCATTTGTTTGGGGTTAAAGATGAAATTTGGAGTTTGGGTAAAGTCAGAGGAGGGAGATATTAGGAGCAGAGACGGAACAGCCTCAACTGTCCGTGTGGTTGTTGTTAATCAGGATTAATTTACAATTTTCAATATTTCCAAACCTGTTTTTGAGCCAAAAAAAGAGCCGGTTTAGTTGAACACAACATTAAGATACTCTCAGGAATTCAAGAAAGACAATAAAGATTCCATGTTTTATATTGCTGGGTTTTCTTTCTCCACTCTGTCCCTGAGCATTGTCTTTGTTTTTTCCAGGAGGTCCCGATCCAGATCCAGATCTCGTTCTCGTTCTCGTTCTCGATCTCGATCACGGAGTCCTTACCACAGACACTGAGGAATCAAAAGGACACGCTGACTCCGACACTAACCCACGAACAAACACTTTACAACAGAAGCTGATAGAAGGAGAACAGAGGGTGATCTCTGGTACTGTTTGAATTTGAATCAGTATAATCAAACAGTAAACCAATCAAACATGTGATTAGTCTCACGACAAAAGTCTTGTCATGAGTCTCATCATGACGAAAATTGAACTCTAGACTTCATTTTTGAAAATCATGACTGACTTATTTTGGTGAGTGATTCTTTTTTTCCCTCTCTTTCTGCCTGAACTTTCACTGTAGACTGGTGTCCTAATGTTTCATTATGTATAGCAGCAATACTTTTTTCTCCCTTGCTTTTGCTTCTGTCAAATTGTTCTTCCAGATTTTGCAGTGCGATCGTCATCACATCTGATGAACCAATGTACAGTTAATTTATAAAGATCCAAACTTCCCTAACCAAAAAATAATAGGACAAACTCGATGCAATCGTCATGAAAACAATTGTTCTTTTTATACTCCGTCTTCCGCAACTTGGTTAACAGCAGCTGTTTGACTTTCTTTGACCTCAGTAAAATGTGATTTTCATTGCAGAACAGCTAATAAAACATTTTCTGAAATATTTGTTCATGTTTGTTTTATTGCCTAATAAAATCAAGAACGATTTGCATTGCAGGATGAAAGTTGTTTTTTTCACCCCAAGTTATGACCAATAGAAAAATAAGTTTTATTACAATATTTTGCATCAAAATAAGATGATTATATTACATGGTATATATCAAGGCTAGAAAGACACTGAGGCAGATCCCCCACCAGCCACCCCGCGGCCCTGGGCTCATTACCCAGTCCCCAAATCCCTGGTCTGGTTGCGTCAGGAAAGGCATCTGGTCAAAACTACACAGTGTTTGTGCCAGGAAGTGTATTCCAAGCTCTTGTGCTGTCAAGTGTCATCTCAAGTCTACATTTACAACTAAATGTTAATTTTTACAAAACTATAATAACTCAATGTGCTGAAGGAGATCGTAATTCATGCTTCTACCTAAAATGTGTTTTCTTGATGATGCCTTGGTCTTGTGGGAACGTAGTGACAATTAAAAAAAAAACAACAACATGTAAAACTCACTGCAGCTGTAACAAAGTGATTATTAACAACGTAAAGAAGCTCATTACAAATGTGTCCCTTGGAACCGAACTTCCTGCATAAGTGGAAGACTCCAGAGAACCTGATCATGATGTTGGTTTGACTCCTACTCATCAGTGGTTTTTACAAACCTGTTTTTAATGATATATATATATATATTAACTTTTGTGAATTCTTCTGAACTCTATACCTGTGATGAAACCAAGAGTGCTGCTGTTTTTTGTGTTGAGATCAACAATATTTTGATTTCATATTACTGCGAATAGAAAGCGGTTCAACTTGTGAGGAAACGTTGAGGAAAATTATAAAAACAAATAGTCTAATTATCCCAAAATGTCATCACCTTCCTGTAGGGAGGGTCGGCGGTTTAACCCAGGGTTAAAAGTTGCGCTTTAGTCGACAGATAAATGACAGTTGCTGTGCGCAGGCTGCAGTCTGTTGCAATCGCTTCCGCATGCTCACCAGGAGATGGCGGTAGATCTCGTCTTTGTGGTTGAGGATGTTTAACTGCTGCCCGTCCTCAGTGAGTCTTTAAGTTCTGGGTCTTTCTGTGTACATTTAACACACAGGGACGCAGCAGTCACAGCCTGGTTAACGTGAAAAGGAGAAATGAGTGCTCCTACAGTTCCGGTTTGTTTTGGGGGGTTTTGCACACACCTGTGGGGGGGAAACAGCGTGGTTTTAGTTCCTCTGTGCTGCTGCGGAGGAAACGAACAGACGTGTGTGTGTGTGTGCATGCGCTCTCGGGCGCGCGTGACATGGAGAGACGTAATTGAAACACGCGGTGAAAAAAATGAGAGAGAAAAGTGATAAAGAAGGTGTGAAGAGAGAAGGGCGGGCTCAGGGTCGGTGGGGCGGGCGGTGCTTAGGCTCGACCATGCCCCCTCCTGCCCTCTATCTTGTCGCTTCGAGGGGGAAGAAGTGTGAACTTGAACGCCGCCTTCACTGAACGGACTGTGTGTGTGTGTAAGTGTGTGTGAGTGAGAGAGTCCCGCAGCCAGAGGCCACTCTCTCGCTCACTCTCATCAGCGTCTTCGTAACATCCGCGTCGCACCGCTTGGTTCTGGGCAGTTAGTCGGAGGATTTTTGGCCGGACGCTGTGTTCAAGCACCGGCGGTTTTCATTACTTGTCCGCGAGAAGCAGGTGAACGATTGGCCGGAGTGGAGAGAAACGGAGCGCTGACGCACCATGTCCAGGCGCAAACTTGGAAGCAGACCGCAGCACCTGAGTGCGTTTCACGGTAAGAGTGTAGCTGTGCGTGGACACGGTGAGCTTGCTGGTCACTCGTTTTTATCTCTTATTGACTATTTCTTACTGAGTAAAATTAAACGTCCTTTAAATTTATCCACGACGTTGTTTTGATGTTCACCGTTTATCTACATTTTCCGCGCAGTGATACACAACATGTAAAAGTTAACAGTGGATTAAACAATTTCCCTCGAAATGAAATAGTGTTGTTTGTTTAAACACGGACCATATTCCGGATGGACGCGTTTTAATCCACTTTGCAGGTAAATATTTAGTTAAAGGCTCACATTTTTCTGCCCGTGTTTGTCCTGATGTGCACTTGGCTGCAGTGGTGTTCATAGAGGACAGACCGGTTTACTGGCACGCTGTTTTTAGAGGCTACAGGTCCGAACACGATGATTAATGTTTCCAGCTTAGAAGATGTTGATCAAGTTTCTCCGTATCTTTGTGTCTCGCTGTCTTTCTCCGAGCTCTGATGAGTTGTGATCCATCATCTGTTTAAAGTGAACCAGATCCTCACAGCTTCACACCGAGACAGACCTAAAAACAAAAACAACCCTGTGTCCTCCGTCTGTGTGAGCATCATAGATCACACAGTCAGGGTGGACGTGGATTCAGGGGGGAAAAGTTTCATGATGGCTAAGAAGTTTGAACAATTTATAACATAAATAAAAGGGACATAAATAATCACAATAATGAACAAATCCATCAAATAAACTTTGATGAACTAAAAAGATATATAGGTCACTACATTATAGTCTGTGTCTGAAAAAGAATACACAAACACCATGACTCCTGACAGCCTTAGGTCCTTTTTCTTTTTTAATTCAATTAATTTTAAAAAAAGGTTTTCAGTAGTTACTGACTCTCAACACCATTTTTTGAAACATCTTGTGAATAAAGACATGATAATGTTGTTTTCCAGTCACAGAAAAACTTGCAGATGTGTTATAGAAGCAGTTTGCCATCTCTATATAAAATCCATCAGTAGCCTGCTTAAAAAAAAAAATCACCATCATCCAGGAGAGTCTAAAAATGTCGACACATTTCTTGTATAGTAGTTAAAATATGACCTGTCATTAGAATAAGGGGCTTAATTTTCATTTTAAATTTGTTTACCATTCTTTAAAATGTGTGTATTTAAAGATGTGAAGAAGAAACAGCCAGCAGTTAAATCTTTTTTTTCTTTTTCTTCATTTACTATGTTTTTGTTTTTGGGTCAACATACAGTACGTGTATAAGGTCAAAGTTGATTGAACTTGGAAACGTGTTTGCAACCCAGAAGGTACAAACATAAAGAACCAACACGATGCTGCAGAGGAAACAAGACAGACGCCAAAGAACACACACACACACACGATTTGTTTTTTACAGTTCTCTATACTGGAGACCAGTGGTGCGTGTCTGGTGTGACCACAGGTCCTGACTCAATCCTCTCTCTCTCGTTTTATGTGTGTGCATGTGTGTGCGTCTGACCGCGCCTTGCAAGTCTGCACAAACAGCACAGCACAGAAAACAGGAAAGGTGACATTTCTGAGTAACAACTGGCGAGATCTGACTACAGACTGTACTGTCTGTACCTGTCCTGTCTGTGTGCTCGCCGGGCTTAGCCCTGGCAGGTGGATCCAGTCCAGGCATTAACAAGGTGTGCCCATGACCGTGTTTGCGCAAGACGTTACTGACACTGACCCCTCCTCGCCCTCCTCCTCCTCCTCGTCCTCCTCCTTCTTTCAGCCACGGGCCTGAGTTTGGATTCAGGCCTTTGAAAAGTGCTTAGGTTTTGTCCGACCCTGTGCATTTGTCGTCCAGCAGTTGACATGAATATCCAGATTGATTAATCACATGATCCGGACCGTTTGTTAATTCAAACACACACACTCTCTTTCTCTCTCTCTCTCTTTTACACACACACACACACTCACAAACCCAAGATCTACTCTTATCTCGGATACCTTCAGTCACTTTTTTTACACTCTTTTATTGCAACAAACTTCCTGTTGAGTAACCTGTCCTCGCTGCCCGCGTGTAGTGTCAGGGTGACATTCTATAAGTGAAAGGTGAATGCCTCGTTATCGTGGCCTTTTTGATTTAGTGTCTTTGACTTGTCAGCACACTGCGGCTGCCGCGCTAAGTGGAGTTGACGGACAGTTGGTCTCTGCGCAGCCCGAGTCGGAACAGGCTGATCTGTGCTGGGTTGGTTAAAGGAAGTGGTCAGCTTTGGCTGAGCAGATTGGCCTCGTTTCTGTAAGGCTTATAACTGAAACTAGCACTTTCAATTACCACGCCTGCCTGTTGTTCCACTGAGGTCTAACTGCACTCTCTGATGAACCTTGGGTCGAGGATGGGAGGTCACGTTCACAAATGGTTCCGTTGGAGTGCTCTATTTTCAGCTAATGATGTAAAAAAAAAAAAACCCACCACACTACCATTGATGATCATATCAGCTCCTTCAACCTGGGACATTCATAAAATGTGTGGATAATGGGAAATACAGGTGCAGTTTAATTAGTTTGATTGTAAGATTTCAGGTTCATTACCTGTAGAAAATGACATAAATGTTACTGTATCTGTTGTTTCGACCAAAACAGGTTTTGTTTTTTCCCTTTTATGAGCCAGGAAGCCAATGTCTGTTCAAGTGAAAGAAGTGAAAGAATTTGTTAATCACCACAATAAGCCAGCTATCCGGAAGACTTATCAAAAAATAGGTGGATTTATTGCTGAATAATGGACCAATCCTTATGTCTTTCGATGTCTTTTGTTTGATAACCCATTCTGATTCCTTCTGTAAAACTTTACTGGTGTATCTTCTCGGTGTTGCTGATCTGCTCTGATCTTCTGACAACTACTGAATCCTCTCTCCTCCTCTGCGTGCCTTCTTCCTCAGAGTCCGGAGACATGGATGGCACCGGCTCGTCCGACCACCATCCACCGACTGCTCCTCTTCCCCCTGCACTCCCACAGGTCCAAGGACCTAATGAGGGTGGTGACCTCTTGACCTGTGGCCAGTGCTGCCAGGCTTTCCCCCTTGCCCACATCATGGCCTTCATCCAGCACAAGCAGGGCGGCTGCCTCTCCCGAAGCCAAGCGGTGAACACTAGCACCACGCCCCCCTCACCTGCCACCCGAGCCCATCAACAGCAGCAGCAGCAGCAGAAGCAGCCGCGTTTGTCGAACGCCAGGTTGGAGCCGGGCTTCATTGAGCTGCGGAGAGCGGCTACCAGAGAGGGAGACGGCGACTGGAGGGAGGAGTCCAGCAGAGCAGGTGAGTGTTGGGTAGAAGCAGCAGTAAAACACTGGCAGGTTGATAATTAGAGACTCTGTATTTTTGTATTGTTTAATTTTCCTTTCCTGTCTGCCACCTCATCATTTAACAAAGCCCCCTTCCCCCCTTCAAGTCCAGCTCATTAGCTAGCCGTTGCCATTAGCAGGCCGGCATGAGTTAGTGACGCACAGGCTAATTGTGTGGAAGGGATAGGCGTCAGGAGCGTTCGGAGAGCACGGAGGGTCCCCCGGGGGCCCCACGCTGAGCACCTGCGCTCCCGAGCTCATTCTCATCTCCCTGACTGTCAGTCTCTGAGGTGGAATGGCCAGGTAAACATGTTTCTCCATTTGTGTCAGCCATGACGCCTTGGACAAACACGCGATGAAGCCCAGCTGCTCTCAGAACCAGTCCAGCACCAGGGTGTCCCGTTCAGGAAGGCCGTTCAGTTGGCTCTGAAAGTTGAGCTTTGCTGTGTGAAGTGGTCAGAGGAGTGTGCGTCTTTCTGGAGCTCTTTTTTTTTTCTGTCTTAACACTGTAATGGAGGACATTGCATCATGTGCGGCTCCTCTGCCAGCTCACACAGCCCCGGGCCGAGCCACCTGAGCTCCTGGGAATTCTTCCCTCTCTTCTCTGCTGTCCTGATCTTATCTATCATCATCTTCATCTTTCTCTCTGTCTTTCACTGGCCCGTGCTGTAGCAATACATGACGTTATGTATTTAAACTGATATTGAACTACAGAAAGACCACAGTGTTGTGCAATATGGAAATTCACCAAAACTCTTTTATCCTAAACGCCAAAACCTTTATCATATAAAGAATTTCCTGCTAACTGCTGATCAACACGATAGTACATTTTTCTAGCGAAGGGCGGTGTCAACATGTCAGTTGAACATGTGACATGGTGTGGAAGTGGACACTTCATGCGGAGACACTCAGGTTTGAGTTGCCCCTGTACATATTTTGAAACCCTCTGTCATGTACACACACGTTAGCAGTTCCTTCCTTTGTGTAACGCTCCGAGGACAGGCGCACGCACCGTTTCCGTTTGTCCACAACCTCTCTGGCTGCTGGAGGTATGACAATACCTCCACTCTGTGTCTCCTTTCTCCCCAACTGAACACACGTGAGTTGTGCGACTCGATGTCATGCCACGGAGCCCCCACGGAGCCCCCACAGATGCAGTAATAAGTAATAAGTTGGGTTTGTGAGTTCTTTTACAGATGCAGTGTAATAAGTTGGGTTTGTGAGTTCTTTTGGAGAATTTGGGTCACAGTTTTTTTGTAGGGCGTAAAAAATCAAATCTTCTCCCGGGTCTCGGTGTTCTTATCTCCACTGATTTTTATCTCTCCTGACATGAAGTCTGAGTTGCCGTGCGTTTAAGTAGCACACATCGGCTACCGTTGCACAACCTTCGGCCTTCTCTCAGTGCTGCGACATCTTGTTTTGCTTGACTGATGATCTGGTCTGCGTGAGAGAAACGCAGCATCTGAGTCGGCCAGGATGACTGGATGTGAAAGAGCAGTTATGCCACAACAGATTGCTCCTCCATCCATGTTTCTGCATTCAGCACCGAGACAGAGAGGGAGGAACGGAGAGCGGGGAGGGGGGTGGGAGGATGGATTACCAAGGAGCCGCGTGCATCTGTCTCATTCCTTTTTATTTATTCTCCTTGTTTGTTTGGCTTTTTTTTTTCACTCATCTTCAACACCCCTCCACCCTCCTCACTTCTTCTCCCATCTTCAACACACTTTCACTTTGCCCTCTTTCACCCCCTCCCCACCCTTTACTCCTCCCCCTGCCTCCCAAGGGAAAAGAGATTCTGCCTGCTGCTCGTTAGTGCTCCTAGCCAATCTGCATTTTTAATTAGTAGTTATTGCTTCTGCTTAATATTCAAGTGCTACCCCAGGCCAAATGGGAATCCTTACGAAAAAAAGCAAGGAGTGAGTGGGGAGAGAGACACTGGCTGGGTATTGTATTTCACTGCGGGACACTATGACAAAAGGCCCCCTCCCCTGCCCTCCTTCAGGGAAAGATTTGGAGGGTTTTGGGGGAAAGATGGGTGAGGCGAGCCGGGGTTGGAGGATGGGTCTCAAACACAATCCAAAAGGGTGACATATTTTTCACGGTGTCTCTTGGCCCCCCGCACTACATGGTAATCTTTTTTATCTAATTTTCTCTCCATCTCCTGAGCCCTGACCTACCTATCCTTCTCTCTTTTTTTCCTGCTTTCACTCTTTCACCCTATTTTAAAAGAACTATCTCAACTTCTCCTGGGTTCCTCCCGCGGCTAGGTTAAAGGACATGAACAGCACAGCTCCTCTCTCTCTAGACAGAGGAGCAGAGGCAGGAGAGAAGGAAACACTTGCTGTCTTTTTCATCTTCAACCCCCTCCCCTCCAGTAAAATACAGAAGGATTTGACTTGAGGAAACATGAAAGCGGCTTATACCAGAGTCTGCTTTGAACCTACAGTTAAAGAAAAAAAAAACAGTTTTCCCCTCAGTTTGGGGATCTTTACTCTAAATTTGATTTATGCAGAATGGCCTCATTTGTCAAGCAGGTTGAGTCAGTACCTGATTTGCATAAAGTGTTGGTTTCCTACGTTCTGCTAATTAGCAATTTGCAGCTTAATTGGAGAGTGGCTCTCAGTGAGGAGACAACGCTATTCATATATAAAAATATCTTCAGATTCACTTTGTGACGTCATTTTCCTCCTCGGCGGCCGCTCAGACGACAGTTTCTTCTCCGTCACCAGGAATGTAACTTTAATTTTCACCCCGCTCAACTTTTTTTTTAACCACCCCTGAGCTTTTACTGACCGTCAGAAGGCTGCCTCTCCTTCAGGCTCTGGAACTGAATGGACAGTAGAAGTCAGTTCCACTCAGGGTGTCACAAACACTGCTGTTTGTTTGTTTCCATTTCAGCTGTCCCCTCTTTATCTTACTGCCTGGCGTCCCTATCTCTCTCTTTTCACCTGTCTCCAAACTCAGCCTTAACTGTCCCTCTGATCTGCTCATCTAATCTGGAGCATTCACCTGAGTGGAAGAAAAAGTAAATCCATGATATTTCTTTATGGTATAAAAACATGGCGGGAGAAAAATATAACAATTTCAAAAGCTCTGACAGGAAGCCGCTAAGCGGTGTGTGTGTCTCAGGGACTTGAGTGACTCAGTCCAGTCTGATGATGAAGTGTATAAAAGGACAGACATTTAAGTACAGGTCTTTCAAGGACATCTGCAGAGAAAGATGACACATTCTGAAAGCATTTCATTTGATGAAAGAAAACTAAAATGATGTGATAGTAGTGAGATAGAAGTGGAGGCCACGCTGTAGAAAGGTGAATTGTGGGTTGTGAACTAACGTCTTCCTGCCACTTCCAAAATATGCAGATTGAGGATTAGATTACCCTCAGGTTACCTTGGGTGTGAATGCGACAGCTGGGTTTGGTTCCAGCTCTCTTCTATCCCGAGTCAACCTAATCATTTAGGAACTATTTTATAGAGGAATTCATTAACTTATTGTTCAGAATAATTTCCTCTACAGCTGTTGAACTGTTGGACACTCTGTGTGTTACTTCCATAAATGATTGTGTTCTGTTTCTCCTCTTTTGTTCCAGTGCCAGAGGAACCGTCCTATTTCACCTGCCAACAGTGTGAGAGCATGTTCCCATCAGCGTGGATGCTGCTACAACATGCTCAGCACACGCACTCCTTCAGCATCTACCAAGAGGACACGGATGTTTCTGCAGATATGAACGCAGAAGAAGTCCTGAAGGAGATGAAGCCCGTGGCGGCCACTCTGGACCCACGCCACCTGAGCCAAGCTCTGGCCTCAGCCTTTCAGCCCCGACAGGGTCGCTCCCGTCAGACACACGTCGCCTCCTCTCCCAGCAGCTCCCAGTTGCTGAACTTCTCGGTGCGGCTCAGGGAGCTCGCCAAGGGGAATAACAACACCAGCAGCGCCTCACCTGGCTGTCTTATGCTGTCTCCGTCCTCGTCTCCACCTGCAGCGTCCACGTTTCCTCAGACCGGCAGCCTCCAGTCTGACTTCCCCTGTGATATTTGTGACCGGAACTTTCTGTCCGTGCATGCCCTGACAAACCACCGTCGTACGCATGCCTGCGAGAGGCCCTATCACTGTGGGGTATGCGGGCTGGCCTTTGCCCAGAGTGGCCAGCTTGCCCGACACATACGGAGCCATCACAAGGAGGCCGCAGGTGGAGGAAGTGGATATGAGTTGGTGGAGATGGTCGGGATGGAGGAGGATGTCAGCAGGCAGGGCGTGAGGGCGAGGTTTCCAATACAGGCATCTACAAACACAGGTAGGGCCGTGGTCGGTGCCGACCCCAGGGTCCAAGGTCAGTCTGAGCTGGACCTGTCTCTGCCCAAACACCCGTCCATTGCCTCAGGCCTGATGCTGCTGAACTCACAGGTTAGACCATCAGAGAGAGAGTTGCTGAGTCTGTACCAGAGGGAGGCAGGGGAGGCAGGAGAGGAGGAGGCTGAAGGGCAGGGGGAGCCGCCGCACACCTCACCCTGCGCCAGCCCTTCCGAAGGCTCACTGGAGAGCGGCGAGACAGGAGGCAGCGGCGAGAGCGGCATCGCCAGCGGGAACTGTACGCCCAAACGGACGGAAAATGGCGACCGTGGGCGTGGAGTCGGAGAGTGGGAGAGTGAGAGAGAGATAAACGATAGGGAAAAGGACTGGACAACTGCCAAAGTCAGCGAGGTGGTGCAGGAGTGGCAGAGGGAGAACGAGTGGAGGTGCGTCGCCGGGGCGATCGGCAGCAACAGCAGCGCGACTGCTCTTTCCACAGGAAAGAAAAAGAAAGACGAGGCCTGCGAGTACTGTGGTAAACAGTTCCGAAACAGCAGCAACCTGACAGTGCACCGCCGCAGCCACACAGGTGAGCGGCCGTATCGCTGCGGCCTGTGTAACTACGCCTGCGCTCAGAGCTCAAAGTTAACACGCCACATGAAAACCCATGGTGCTCAGGGAGTCAAGGCTCCCTTCCTGTGCCAGCTGTGCAGCGTCCCCTTCACAGTCTACGCCACTCTGGAGAAACACCTCAAGAAAGTGCACGGCCTGAGCCACGCCAGCGTAGGTGCGTTCACACAAGTCACTGCTAACGACCATTTAGCCGCTGTGAAAAGCGAAGACGCGGTGGGAGTAAAGATGGAGGAGGAGGAAGCCCACTTGGATCAGATGGAAACTGAGGCGGTGAAGAGCGTGAAGAGGGAGGACGCCCAGAGTCGTGCTGAGTATCTGGAGAGAGGATCGAGTCCAGCCTCGGCGGGGAGTCTCCTCCCACCTGAGAGCGGTGCAGACATGGGCTCAGCTTTGACTTTTGCTCTGTGAGGGCTGTTCTCAATCACAGATGACTTTTTTTTTTTTTTTTTTTTGAAAAAGCACTGCACAGGATTTGACTCACATTTTTCTATTTTATTTAAAGAACTCACCCCATCCTTAAAATGACAGTCAAGCAATAATAAAAAAAAAAGCTACAGGAAGAGTAGCAACTCCACCTTGTTTGGTATCAACCCAGTTGTTCACAGCTGAAGGCAAAGCTGACGGATGAAAGTAGGTGCCGACAGTTGATGCAGACCACAGAGAAAAACAAGGCCATGACATTCAACAGGGAGATTACCCAAGCTGCTGAACAGGAAGTGAACTGCCACAGTCCACACCGACACAGGAAACTGATCACCATGTTACAGTGCAGGGTGCAAAAACTAGAACAATTTATCTCTACGCCGGACAGGTGAAGATGGATATTAACCCTCCGATTATACAAAAAAAAAAAAGAAACAGTTTGAGAGAAGGTTGTTGAATATAATTCACCGTATCCTCAGGTGGAGGATGATGTCGTGCTTCTCTACTCTCTTACTCCACAGACGGCCTTTTAAAGGCTGAACAGACACAGGGTGAAATGAATCCAAACACTGTACGGACCGTCCGCCTGCAGTTTCTCAGACCCCTCTTGTTAAAAGCGCTTGCTTGTCACAACACTTGTCACTTAACATAATGTTTACAGGACTCGCAGGGCCAAGCAAGGTTGTGCTCTGATATTATAACAGTGTGTATGAATGACTATCACTCTCTTCTTCCTTTGGTCTAATTTTTTTTTTTTTTTTTTTAGGAGCGTGAATACAGAGACTCTGATGTCTCACCTGCTGACAGTTTATGTTGTTGTTGATTAGTTTCTATGCATAAAAAAAGACAATTTTTATCTCTATGTGAAACGGGTGTTTATAATAATTCTCTATTTGTATGTAGTTTTGTGACGGTAATTGCTCTCTCCTTATTGTTTACACTGGTGTCAGTCTGGCTCGAGGCTTGTGCATGGTTTTGTAACGTTTCTTTCGTTGTTGTCCTTGCTTGCTTTTTTCCTTTTATTTATGGATGCGTCGCGCCGATGATTGTGTTACTGTTCGAGTCCGTTTTACTGCTGAGCCACAGGGTCGAGAACAGCGGCAGTACGGGGCTGATCTGGGGTCAGTTGTAGAGAATGACAAATTGATAATCCTCACACCTGTTTTGTTCTGAATGCCACGACGCGTTTCTGACATGGCGGGTTATAAGATTTGAGTAAATCTTTTTTTTTTTTATTTAACGAGAGGCGTCTTCAGGTAGAGGTCAACTGACATGCTCCTAGCGGCTGCGATGATGTTGTCATGATGTCGACTTTCCTTCACGTCAGGGGAAACAGGTCCTCATGTTCTAGCCAATGACTGTGGATAAGTGTGGTGGAACTGTTCAGGGATAATATTTTGTATATAGAGTCACATACTTGCTCTTGCTGTACCTGTTATTGTTATTATTAATAATATAATCAGCCTGTCACTGTTACATTCCCTTCACTTCTCCTCTCTGCGTCTCGCCTCCTCACGGAGCGCCGGCTGTTGTGAAGCCTTTTCCACTCTGCTCTGTTTTTGTAAACTTGAATTCATTTTTGTACTGTGTCACAAAGAGCCTCAATAAAGCCATTTGAGGTCAAATGTATCATTTGATTTATTTATTTATTTTTAAGTCTTCTTTGTCTCCCTTTTTCTTTGTTGATGTTTTTTTTCCTCTCTCTCTCTTTCGCATGTTTAATTTATCAGCCTCTTATTTGGTTCCCGGAGCCTCGACAAGGCGTTTGAATCTATTTTTAAGAATCTTCTCACCAGGATGTTGTGTCAGTAAGTGTGGGGTCCTTTCTCTGAGGACCATAGTCAGTGCTGAGTTATTAATTTTTAATGTGAGTCTTCGGTTTAGGGACCCTCACTCCTTATTTACATTTCTTCTATGTTTCTGTTTCTGCATTGAAACACTGCAGTGACGTGTGTATATTTATACACACTTCTCTCTCATATGCAGATATTTTTGAGTCGCTGTCACTCACCCTGCAGGATGCTGGATGGGTGCAACGAGCTGTGATGGGACACGGGCGACAGGGATTTCTCAGGGTACAACATTGATGGGGGGGGCAGTTTGGTTATTGTTTGTGGGCATGTATGAGGCACAGAAAGGTGTGTAAGGAGTGTCAAGGGGTTGGGGATAATTGCTGACTCCACTTTAAGGGCGTAAAAAAAAAAACCTCTGCAGCAGCATCTCTGGCCTTAACTCCACCCGCAGCCCCCCCCCCCCCCCCTACACAAAAATAAATTTCAATGACCTCTTCCTCCTCTAGCTCATTAACAGCAGGTCTTTTAATGAGCTTTCAACTGCGAGGGGGCTGGGTAGATGAAGAGGAAGGAGTGGGGTTGGATGGTGGAGGGTCGGAGGGCCGGAGGGGGGGGTGTTATTGCACCAGATGCACACACACCCACTCCTACCAATTACTATTGTGTTGTAGAGAACGAGGATGAAGAGGAGACAGAAGCTCCTCAAACCCAGATGAGTCGGTTTGTCCGTTTTCGTCCACAGAGACAGATAAAAAACAGGGAGGGAGGACAGGTAACATCCTACGTCTCTCCCTCTGGTAAACTCTGCCCCGGCTGCTCGTCTGTTGGGCGCCACAGCCAGCGCCATTTGGCTCTCATATGGACCCAATTATGTAAGGTAAGGTGATACACAGCAGAACACAGAGTACAGAAGCCCCTACAGCTACTGGATATTTTTTCTTGTCCCCAAATGCCCTTTGTCTTCCTGCGGTCCACACCTCTCCTAGAGTCTCACAAACACTACACAGGCCGGTGTCAGCACCCACACCAGCCAATCACAGCGTGAGGGGTTAATGGTGGCTGCCAATGGGAGGGCGAGGCCTACATTGTGCTCCTGACCGACACATGCCTCTGGGCGGTGGTAATTTGGACTTTGAGATCTAATAGTTGTGTCTCGGGCTTTTGTTGGAGTGGAGATTTGTTAGAGTTTGTCACTGGACACTTTCTGTGCCACACACGGCTCACCAACCACAGCTAACTATCTTCACCTCAAATAACACTTTGTTGATATCTGTGAAGAAAACCTGAGAAAAAACATAGATCCTGTAGTAATGAAAAATATCTGTCTCATACTTTACCACTAAAACTAAAAGTTCAGATTACAGAACATCCAAAAAACACTGTATGTGAGAAGTCCAAATCTTCAGGTCACGGTGCTCTCCCCGTACTGGAGGAACTGGAACTGGCCTTGACGTGAGAACACGTCAAAAACATCATGTGTGTGACTATGTTTTTGTCTTTGAGATTCAATATTTTTCCTAAAAATTCAAACACTGACAGTAGTCAGTCAGTTTGGTGTCAGCTGATCCTCTCCTCTCCCACTCTACTCTGATGTTTCAATCTCTTAGGTTTGATTACTGAACCCTGACGGCTGTTTTCCAGTGGAAATGTGTCGTCCACACGCAGCATTTGAAAATAGAGAAAAGTTTGCTTAAAGCCTACTGAAAAAAACTATTTTTCATTTACTTCAAACAAATACTATGAGTTATCTCTTTGTGTTTTTCATCCCTGCAAATTGACACGTTTATACTACATCGATTGAATATACTGGAGGTCTTCAACATGGGGTCCGCAAGCACTAGGTGGTCCAAAGGTCCTGCTGGAGGTTTCTGAAAATTTTGGTTGATTTGATAACTTTGTAATATTTTTGCACATTATATTATAACACTATATAAATATATAAATATGGATGTGTATCATTTGAATGGCATATTTTAAATGAAAGGTTTTATAGAGTGGATGTAGCAGTGGGACCCCACTCCATCAGTTTGGGGGTCTTTGACCTAAAAAGAGTTCTAAAGAACAGCCCAGGAGGTAGGTTGATGGTGATGGTGATGGTGATGGTGATGATGATGGAGCCCCCCCTTGGCATCACATTACAGGTTATTACGCTATTACAGGGACAAAGGACAAGTATTACTACATGTGTGGAGTGGAGAAATTTCATTGATTTGTAAATCACTGGAATGGAGGGGGGAGGAGGGGTGAGGAAGTAGTTTGTTAACCTCTGGTGTAATCGATGTACTTCATATCAGTAGTATAGAAGGAGTATTAGAGTAAAACCTCTACTGAGACGCACCAGTACCAACAGCAACATTTCCCTCGGCGTTTCACTTTCAGCTAAAATGCTGACTGGGCTCTTAAACCGCTCGGCCTCATGGGTAGTGATGGACAGCTTACTTACAAATTCATACGAAGCTTAATGATGATGAGTTCTTAAAATGTGAGGCGTGTTTCAGCCGTGAGTTTGTTTTCCTGGAAGGCCGGCCCGTGGCGGTCCGAGGCTCCCACAGATGTGGGAGAAGATTGTGTTTTATCATGTAGAAAGCCAATTAACAGGGGGTGTTTAATTACACTCTTCATGTCAGCCCGGGTGACGTCCTCTGTCATCTCGCTCTCCGTCCTGCTGTCCCAGCCCTCGCCAGAGTAGTTGAGACAGAGGAGGCAGGGATAACAAGAAGAGGAAAGATGCATTCGGGAGCAATCAGACAAACCGCAGGACTCCCTCTCTGCTCTTTATCCTCGCACGGTTCCCACAATCCCAACCTTCTCTCACCCATCCCTCCCTCCGCAACAACCGCAGAGTGAAACCTGAACCCTGAAATTACACCCTCCGCAACTCTCTCCCCTCTCCTCACCCTCCTATCCTCCTATCCTAACAGTGAGAGTGTGGGAGGACGGGTGAAGCGGCACAGTCCCAGGCAGCCATCCGTCAATCAAGTGCTTCTCTGTTTCCCCATTCAACACCTCCACATAATGAGAAAAGGCCGAGAGTGGCAGAGTTCATTCTTATGGAGGGGGTTATATAATGTCACTGATCGGAGTCTGGACCGGGTCACACAGACGACACTGGAAACAGCTTGATTTCAAAACAAAAGCGGAGGAAGTTCACTGGTTTTTCTGTTTTCACGGCCGAGTGAGAACGAGAGTGAGATCATCAGCTCACGTTCACCTCAAAGGCCGAGTGTTTAAGGCATTTGACAACATTTACACAGGCATTACGTTCACATTAGTTATATATTTCCCCTATGTGTTTTATGCAGAGCAACAATTGTAACAGAGATTCTTGAACAAATTAGAAAACAAGGATAGCCCCGGAATCTGAATAGAGTTAATTGTGTAGCTTTTTTTTTTTTTGCTGAAATATGTTCACGGCTAGTTTAATAGTGATATCAGCAGGTTTTAAACTAGTCTGAACCTGATGCTCTTCTTCATGGTCCTTTGCCGTAGAATGTTATTAAATTTAATCAGAGACTTTTGTAAAATCAGACTACAAGCAGAGAGGAGACCTCTTTATTTTCCTCACCCACTTTACTCTTTTAATTCTAATTTTAAAGCTATAGAGTTCATTCAGGTAAATGTGTTTGGTGGTTTTGGGCTGTGAATAAAAAAATAACACATAAATAAAAATGGACCTGACTCTGGAGAGAGGCTCTCAGCAGCTTCAATGTCTGCCCAGGGCCTTTGTTGTGTTGGTGGACAGATCAGCTGTTGTTGCTTTTATTATAATCCTTCAAAACAAGTCAGAATCACATTCAACCTAAGACAAGGTTTCTAATTAATGTTCGCACGCCTCGTCGTCGTGGCAAGACAAACACCTGTCCGTTCACAGTCTGATAATTCAATGTTTTCCATTTCATACACACACCCACCCACCCACCCACACACACACACACACACACACACACGTTACGCGCTGCACCTGGTGACCCTTCTTGAGAACCTGGCACAAACACACCCACAGTTATTCAGTTGCTCTGCTAATTACACACATGCAAATGCGTGCACACACACACACGCACACACACACACTGAGCCGAGGTCAGAGGTGCTGCCTGCAGAGTTTGCGCAGTAAGGTTAGAAGGTTGGAGTCCTGTCCGGTGACAGGTGAAAATGCTTTCATCTGTTTCTTCTGCTCTGGCCTGAGGGAAAGTGAACTGCAGCCTCTGACTGTCTCATGGAGACAGTTGGACGCTGCCTGCAGCGTGCACACTGATCAACGGTCACCTTTTAACTCCTCTAATAAGATAAGGTCAACAAACAGCCATGGACGGTGTTAAGACTCTATATTTCCTTTTGTGATCAGGGCCTCAAAATGTTTCACAAACACCTTCTACCCAACACACACACACACACACACTACCAAACCCCATTTAAAATATTGTAATTCATACCAAACGGTGATTCTCCCTGAACAAAGGAAATAACATAACAAACCAGTTCCAGTTCTCCACTAGGGTCCAAGTAAAGAAAATATTTAAATATAAATCCATTTATTTTATGGCGTCCACAAAGTGGGGCCCGCTCTCCACTTTGATCACCTGTTTACACGACAGTGTTGCAAATGCTTCCTGGTCAGAACAATTATTGATTTTTCTCCTTCCATTTCCTGTCTTTTTAAAGAAGAAAGCAGATAAAAAACTCACATTTATTTCTGAATAAAACGACAAAGACATTAAGAAAATAAATGAGGAAATGATTCCTACAATACAAAGTGTTTTGACAAGGCAGAGTCGGGTGAAAACCTTTCTGGGCCTGAGCTGATCTGAGATGTGGTCAGATTTGGTCTCTTTCTGAGGTCAAACTAAGTTTGAAATTTTTTTTAGCGTTGTAGGAATAGACCAGGCATGGGCAAACTAAGGCCCGAGGCAACCTGTTCAGCTTTTTAATCCGGCCCGCCAAACTCTTCCAAATTATATAATTTATTTATATTATCATTATACTTCTGCCTCTTCCCTGAAATACCCACATTTCACAGATAGTTGGCGTAGAAAATGCTAAAAGCATTTTAGCATGTTAGCCTTTATGCATGACTTTTACGTGTCATTTATCTTAGTTGACGCCAACGCTCCATCTATCTGCTCCTGACCCGGCCTTCCTGTTCAATTTTAGGACAATTGTGGCCCGCGAGTCAGACCTTTGGGTTCTGTAAACTAACCACATGCTGACGCAGAGGTACTTTATTTTCCAGAAACCTTCAGTCAGTTCTGTACAATGACAGCTTTGTTTAGACCCCTCCAATATAAATACAGACACAGATGGATCAACGGTGAATGAAACACAGAGTTGTGTTCCCAACTGCAGTTCATTATTAATTCAAGGATTATGATCAGAATTAAAGACGGAAGTATTTATTTATATTGAGTCAAAGAGTTCAAGACAGGACAAGTCCGGAAGATTCTTCTCCGTCTATTCTCAGTTGATCACTTCCCCTCAGCGTTGCCTGTGATTAGTTCATTTCCTTTCGGCCGTGTCCCGATCCTCTCCTCAGAAAAGGGGCCGGGACAAAGGTGGTTAACCAGCAGGGAGAGCGAGAGAGAGGAGTCGTGGAGCTGCTGGTGCCAGGGTCGTGGGATCAGAGCAGGACATGCAGTTGTGGGAGTGTCTGCTCAGCCCTCTGACCTTTGTCACTGGGGCTTTCTATAATCCTGTCCTCAAAGACCATACGGACATAATGGAGAGCCAGTGAATAGAGTTAAATGGTGACCATTAGGCAGATCTGTGTCGCTATTCTTCTTGTTTGTTTAGTCCCGGTCAGTCTCACGTTTTCAGTGTAATCAGGCGTGTGATAGAGGGACGGCTGGAGGAGCCTGGAGAGGCCTGGAGAGGCCTGGAGAGGCCTGGAGTGGCCACCGCAGGACAACAGTTCATTGGAGATGGATATCCACCTTGTCCTAATGAATGACACGACATAGGAAGGCACGGAGGACGGGGGGACGACGGGGGATAGTAATTGGATGTCTGTTGAACAAGTCCAGAGTTCATAAATGACCAGACTTTAGGAGACACCGTAGTCTAGGGGCAGAGACAAATAACTGATAGTTAACCTTTCTGGCACTGCTTGTTATTAACTATTGAAAATGGTCTGTTTTTCTGTGGGATGTAGGATTCTCACTTCTGTTTACCAAGGAAAATCCATTGTGGACATGTTTGTTCTGCTTTGTGACCACTCTATATCAGGGGACTATTTTTCTAATCCAAACAATTAATAAATGTATATTACACGCAAACATGCTAATAATAATCTTCATTAAATATTTGTTAAAAATAGAGCTTTAAAAAACACATTATTACGGATGCCTCCTGTGTACTGATGATATGGACAACGCCCAAGAAAAGAACTAAGATGTTAGTGACACGGAATGGTGACTTGTTAACGTCAGTGTGACAGTTAGTAGGAAAGCAGACTGAAACTGAAGAAGCCGAATGGAACGCGGCCAGCTTTAAGGCAATTATTTGCACCTGTGCTCACCTGTCCAACTTCCAAGGCAGGAGTAACTCACAAGAAATACCTTTAAATTTATGGGGTTTTTTTTTACTAAAAAAAAAGCTAATATAGCAATATTTGGATGAGATCATTTAACAGAAATATTTCTGCTCATTTTATAAAATTTTATTTAAAAAAGATTTAACCTTTTGTATGTTTTTTTTTTTTAGAATTTGATGTTTGCATAAATTGTCTCTTTTTATGCTTATGGCTTCATGCTGAACCATTTTGCATTTTAAATTTATTTTCCTTTCATATTACATTATGCTTATTAATGTGGAGCATCCCCCTGTGAGTAAATGTCTCCTGGGGGAAGCCGATTCCCAAAAATTGATCGCACTTATGTAAAAAGACATAAAAAAATATAATAACTGAAAGCTAAAACGTGTGTGTTTAAAGTTTTAAACCATTTACTGCATATCTCAATTAATATTGATTTAATTGTGTTTTTACTTCATTGTCTTTATTGCTGTACTGTGACTGCTGGTCCAGGTCAACCTTAAAAGAAAGTTCATTGGGATTTAAATAAGTTAAATACATCAAAAAAGGCAATAAAATAAAATAAAAAATTCCTGTCTTGATGGTTTTTAATTAAACAATAAACAACTGCAATCCACTTTGTGTGTTTTAATTTCTTATTTAGTGAATGTTTAAAGAAAAAAAATTAAGACTATTAAAGTCTCTTGTTTCTGTGTGCATTATGAGAATTTAAGTTAAAAATTAAAAATCACATTATTATTCATTTCATTTTACGTAAGTGAATCCTCTTTTCTAGGATGGGGGTTTGTATACGGTGGGCTTGGCTGCCATCTAGCGTCGGTTTTGAGAACTGACACAGAAAACGTCCGGATACAATGGTTTCTATTTATTTACTTATTTATTTTATTTTATTTTTATTTTATTTTGCAGCTACTAATGGAACCCTGTGTGAAGAAAATTACAGACAATAGTGTAGATTTTTAACGACTTCACCGTTCAGTTTTTTTGTTGTCGATGTTAGACAGTTAGTCTGAAAGCACCCGGGAAATGAGGAAGCTAACTCGAACGAAGCCGTCGTCAACGTGGTTTTTTGCACCTGTGCCCCTGCTATCGTCACATTATCGTCAGAATGTTTGCCACCAGAAAGGGGCGAAGAGCACCAGAGGTGAACGAAAGAATAATAATAAAAAAAACGTTTTCTTCTCCGTCTTTATAGACCAGAGCAACATGGGAAGAAAATGTGTATTCTGAAGGTAAGTTGTTTTTTAACACTAAGGAACGTACGTTTCTGCTCAACAAGTCACATTTCATTCTTTAAAAAGTCTTTACAAGATTTCAGAAAAACGTTATTCCAAAATCTACATAACCTTTTTCTTTTACTGTGCTGTCATTTTAAAATGTTTTCTAATAATTTGCAATAGTTCATATGTATATATTTCTTATATGTTCATATATAATATTCGTTTGTATGTTCATATATATATAAATATAAGAGTACATGATATATTTGTATTTTGAAGTCTGTACAGACTTTAGCCTCGCCTGTTCATAATGTCAATCACTGCTTGCGCCATGTTTTTTTGTTTGTTTGTTTGTTTGTTTTTTGGTAATTGCACACATGGGGGCGCTGACGTTTTTTCAGTGTTACAGCTTAATGACTATCATTACTGTGGTTTTCCCCCAAAAGTGATTCTTAGTAAAGCAAAAATTTGAGGTGATGATGGATTAAAGTGAGATGAAAGAGTTGCTGACACCGTGTCATTAACCCAGACTCGTGCTCCTGCCTGGGGCTCCACATACCTTTGCAGGCCGGCGGAGCACAGCCGGGCGGGGAGGCGCTCTGACTGCGCCTCTCAGGATGCGGAGGGTGTCAACTTTGAGTTGCATATAAGCCCGTCATCTTCACATTTCTCTTCATCCCAATGTTTTTTCCTCTTCGTCATGGCCACAGACAAAGTTCCGCCTCCTCTGGGCTCCATCGAGAACCCGATCAAGTCGAAGGATCAGGACTTCCTGAGTCTCCTGGAGGAGTGTCTGAAGTCCGGGCAGTTGTTCTCTGATCCAACCTTCCCAGCTGAGCAGGGCTCCATCGGTTTGACGGGTCTGGACCCGACCCGTCCTGACAACGAGATCAAGTGGCAGCGACCTAAGGTGCGTCTTTGGACCGTGACACTTTTGTAAACCACGTGTGGATGTGAAGTCACTGTATGTTTTAATGATGTGGCCCACGGGTGGAAAGGTCTGCCACACATTTAATAATAATAATAATAAAAAGGTTCATCTAATGGGCTCCAATGCATTTATGTGAAACGGACGTGTTGCAAAACTAGGACAAGAACCTACATGCTGAAGCTGTAAATGATGACTATCTGGTGTACAGATGAGGACGAGTGCTGCCATAGAATGTAAACATGTTTTTAAACCTGCAAATAGTAGTTTATATAAAGAGCCTACAGTGTTGTTTTTTACTTGTGCACAGCATTAGAATGACTAGAATTGTCAGCATCTGCAAAGAGAATCTTATTAAAGGAGTTTTTGTTGTTGCATTTCAAACCACAAAGACCGCATGAAGCTAGAAAAACAAATGACAAATTCAAAATAATAAGCTCTGTTGACATGGACTGTCAGTTACAGACACCTAAATAACAGACTGGACTGTGGTGGTGTTGAAATCTCCTCAGTAGTTCAAGGCCATTCTTCTGTCATTAACACTGGTTACTTCACAGTTTTTCTAAAAAAATAAAAGTCCAGCCCTGCAGGTTTTTATTGAAATCTCAATTGTTTTTTAAATGTATTATTTCATCCACCCTGACAAAATATCTATTGTGAAATAGTATCCCCCATGGTATTATCCTCTCACTTGGTCTACAGCGGGGAAGGTGTTCTTTGGGTTGGATGCTTCTCACTCCTTAATCTGAACATAGGCAGCATGTCAATGTCCAAAGAAAGGACAAGTTTGTCCTATTGTCTTCGGTCTGTTTCATCTGTTACAGGCTCACAGGTGTCTATCAGGAAAAGAGGAGTTTTTCTTGCTCTGCAAACGTATGAATTCATGTGGATGAGGTTTTTGATTACGATTTTGTTTAAATTATATTTTTTACCTCCCCCTGGTTTTGTTGTGTGGCTCTTTACTCCCTTAGATTTTGTAATTTTCATTGACATTACTGAATTTTGGTTTGGTAACAAACTCTGCTCTGAAAAAACAACATTTTTTCTCATTTGTTTTGGATGCATTCCTTACTCAAATATTTCCCCCTGGTGGGATATTAAAGTCCCTCTGATTTCAAACACAACCCTTATGACTGATAAATCATGGCTCCTCTGATGTTATCTAAGTGTTGCTCAAGGGTCTGCTGGCAGCGACCCCTACAAATGACCACCCTATTTAGTGACCTATGACCTGGAGCAGTTCAAGAACTCGAGACCAGGCCATGTCCGAAATTCACCATCGATTACTAATGGTTCCACCCAAATAGTACAAAACACAACATCTTCAGCTCACGGTGTCATTTCTTTATCCCTCAGGAAATCAGTAAAAATGCTGTGTTTGTGGAAGGAACCACTGGCACCACAGACATCTGCCAAGGCCAACTGGGTGAGTACATGAGAAAAACATGTCACTTCAATACTGAAATCTTCCTTTCATTGTCTCCCCGTGCTGCTCTCCCACAGTCAGCGAGTGAGTGAGTGTAGCGTTGCACAACAAGCAAAAAAAAAAAAATCCACCTTAATAGCTCTTTTAACTCCCCTCGTTAATGCACTTCAGAGAATTCCAACTACTTCATTATAATCAGTTGCAGAGTGACATTTATGACGTGCACAGACCCAGGCAGTGGAACTTCAAATGCACAGCAAGTGGTAAAGAGGAGTCACACTATTTTTTATTTTTTCTAAAACCTCCAAATCTCCAGAGAGTCGTTTCTTCATCTGAGTCCCATTTTTTTAACAGCTTAGAAATGAAGCTCAGGTTTTTGTCTGTTTCCTATTTGTGGTGATGGAAACTCAAAACAGAAACCTCTCCTGCTGTCATGTTGAGTGACGTCAACGTGCCCACCTCCTCCCCCACATCCTCCACATTTGTCAGGCTTTTATGTATTGTTTTGAGCGTCAGGGTTCTTTTCTGTAATTTATGTTGTAAAACAGCAACATCTTGAGTGGAAAGAGGAACAGATGTTGCATGTTGTAATGGAATGTATGTGCGTGTGTGTGAGAGAGTGGGAGAGAGCTCAGGCTTGACATCCATCCTTTAATAACCACATTAATCCTTGTGAGATGAAACTCATCAGCGCCCCTTGTTGGTCTGTGTTGCTCAGGGAACTGCTGGCTGCTGGCGGCCCTGTCCTGTCTCACCATGCACCCTCAGCTGTTCGTGAAGGTGGTGCCGCCTGATCAGAGCATGTCTGAGCGATATGCAGGGATCTTCCGTTTCAGAGTGAGTGAACGTGTCATCGGTGCCTCACTGCTGGGGTTTTTGTTTTTGTTTTTGCTCCTCAGAAAAATATCACCGTACCACCAGTCAGGTGACTGTAGCCCCAACTGCTGTAATTTAAACTCTAATTAAAATAATGCGTGTTAATGAACACACACCTGCCTAAAACATTGACACAGTACTATAACTTTAATCTTTCTTTATCACCTCATAGAGAGCTGATTGGGATCTATAAAAGAATAACACGCACAGGTTTAATCAAGCGTTCGCTGATTAGAGAAATATTTCTTTTATCTGAGAAGAAAGACCAGACTTTGCTGACACACTGTTCTACCTCGGAGCTGTGGGCCTTCAGAGACTCCCGACCAAAACCTGACAAGACTTAACAAGCAGCAGAACAGGAGTGGAAACTCATTTTAGCCTGTGACAGTGATGGGAGAGGAGTCTGGACATGCAGGGCCATGATTCACCCCTTTGGGACCCACACACACACACACACACACACACACACACACAGAGTGTTAGACCAGTGCAGGCCTGTTTTCTGCTGCCGGCCTTTTTCTTTTTTCTTTTTTTTTCCATAAACAGGTAGCAGCGCAGCACACGCCCACAGTCATGACCATTAACAGCTGTTCTCTATTTTGTCAGACAAGAAAACAATTTGTTCGACTCTGTGTTTTATGAACCTTTTGACTGGTGACAACTGCTACTTACCAGCAGTCTGTTTGGTAAGATTCAGGTGGAGGTAATGACCTGGAGAGAAACCTATTATGGCTACAAAAAACATGTTAAGGCAATGGTTCTCAAACAGTACTAACCCCCTCTAGTGGTACATAAAAGAACATTCATTTTACCTAATTAAAAAAAAAAAGTTTTTATATATATTCTTGCGTGCTCTGTGTATACAGGTATATCGTAGTACAGGTACTGCACTGCAACTAAAAGTTTAACTAGTATAGTGTTGATAACAAACAAATCTCATATCGGTGGTATGTGAGTTTAGGAACAAGGAAATGTATGAAGTGAATGATGAGATTGCTAAATTAATTTTTTTTAAATAGCCTTTTAAACTAGAATAAATAAAGTAGAATATTTTATTGATTATTTCCTGCTTTTAATGAATATTTTTAAAAAAGGAAATAATTGTCTTATGGGACTAACATTCTTTTTTAATTTTCAACTCTATATTTAACTCTTGTGCTAAGAATTATTTTTACAGCATTGACATCAGCGGCTCGTGTCTCCCCTCCACAGCAGAGCAGTAATAATAGCAGCTGATAAAGAATGGGAATCAGAGTGGAGTCATTCCACCTGTGGGGAGGCTGATGATGATGATTTTTGGCCAGAGTTTATTTCATTTGTCGTGAATTTATTGCAGCTTTCAAAGAGTGATATAAGAAAAGAGATTTAATTTGAGATGGTGGTGAGAGAGTGACACTTCACTGACGTGTCAATTAATGACGTGCCCATGTCTCCTTTGTAAACACAGTCTCTCTCTCTCTCTCTTTCTCTCTCTCTCTCTCTGCCCCCCAGTTCTGGCAGTATGGTGAGTGGGTGGAGGTGGTGGTGGATGACAGGCTGCCAGTTCGCGAAGGCCGTCTGCTCTTCAGCTACTCTCGCTCCCGTAATGAGTTCTGGAGCGCCCTGGTGGAGAAGGCCTATGCCAAGTCAGTCGCCAGCACCAGCATATGTTACTTGCTCGTAACGTCTGAGACCACCCACTCTTCTCTTTGTGTGTGTGTGCATAGCTCCGTGAATGATGTATTTTGCCCCTCGTGTGTAGATTAACAGGATCCTATGGCAGCCTGAAGGGGGGCAACATCTCAGAGGGGATGGAAGATTTCACTGGAGGCATCGCATACTCGGTGGAAATCTCGTCTCACACCCCTCGCGTCCTCTGGAGGAGTCTGACCAGAGCGCTGTCCAGAGGAAGTCTGCTCAGCTGCTTCATCCAGGTTCATAGAACAAACCACACTCTGACGCCGTACAGCTGGAGGACGGGCGTCCAGGAATGACGTGGTCTCTTTCTCCACAGGCCTGCAGCTACAAAGAAGTTGGTCAAGTGAGTGGAGATGGGCTGATAAAGGGCCACGCCTACGCCATCACGGACACGGACATGGTCAGTATCACTGTTCACACATTCAACTCTGACTTCTGTTGTTGTTCTCACTGTTTCCGCTCAGTCACTTGCTGCCCACCTGATATTGTCTGCCTGTTTGGCAACTGAGTTATGGTACGACAACCGGGGCAATGTTTGGTTAGAAATGATGTTCGTGAACTAAATAGTTCGAAAAGGGAGGTGTTCGACAACCGAGGTTTCACTGTATTTTGTTCAGGAACAAATTACAACAAATATTTACTTCTTTGATTTCATTTTTGCCGAATGAAATTTTACAAATATTAATTAGAGGAAACAAGTTCAACTGGGTAGAAAGAAGGGAAATCATTTTGACTATTAGGTATTTGGGTTACATGACATGGTAAAAACAAAAAAGTCAGTTGTTTCAGGATTATCAGGAAATATTGAAAATGTAACCAAGTGAGTATTGCATAAGTTCCACCTTTTAAAAACAGCCCATAATCTGAGTTGTTCTGTCTCCACACATTTCAGGTAAACAATGCGTCAACGGAGATTCTGTTGCTGAAGCTGAGGAACCCCTGGGGTTTCATTGAATATCAAGGACCTTGGAGCGACAAGTGAGAATAAGTCTCTCTGTTCACACATACACACACGCTCAGAGGTAACATCTTCAGATGTTGAGTGACCTCCTTGTCAACCGCAGGGCTAAAGAGTGGGACGCTGTGGACAAAGCAGAGCAGGAGCGGCTAGAGCTGAAGAAGATGGAAGATGGAGAGTTCTGGTACGTGTCACGTGAAAGTTCAAAGGTAAAAACATCCTCATGGAGGTCATTTGTCAGAGTTCTTCCACCGTTGTCTTCAGGATCAGTGCTGAGGACTTCAGTAAGCTCTTTAATGTCGTGGAACTCTGCAACGTCAACCCTGACTCTCTTGATGAGGTCGCCGAGTCTTCTTCTCCTTCAACCCAGGCTGCATGGAGCATCACCGAACACGAAGGAGCCTGGGTACCAGGAAGCTCTGCTGGTGGCAGCCGCCGATACAACAGTGGGTCAAAAAGTTCAAATCCTGATGTCTGTGATGTCACACTTCACCTGCACCACTTTCAAACGTCATCATGTCCTTCTCTGTAGAGACCTTTTGGAAAAACCCTCAGTTCCAGTTGATTCTTAAAGAAAGGGACCTTGACGAGGTGGAAGACAGTGAAGATGACGATGGCACTGAGGACGATGATGAAGTTGAAGATGAGACACTGACAATGACACTGGAGAAGAAGCAGAGAGAACAGAAACAAAAGCAGAAAGCCAAAAAGTGCACTGTGTTGGTGGAGGTGCTGCAGAAGGACCGCAGGAGGAAAGACAAAATCCACTTCCTCTACATTGCGTTCCATATTTACAAGGTGAAAAACTGCTGTAAATGAAATCTCAACCTAATTATTGTTGCTGGTCTTCCTGGGTGAACTCAAATGTACCATGTTCTTCTGTTTTGCAGGTTCCTCCTGAAGTAAGTTAGTTTATTTTATTTTCAACATGTACATGTTAAATGAGTGTGTAAATGTTACAAAATGACTGAAAACAGTAGCATAAAACTTGAATCCATCTGTTCTTTTAAATTAAATTACCCTAAAATAGCAACATGAGGCTAATTCACTGTTAGTAGAAAATATTATGTTTTAGAAATAACCATTAAAATAATAGCATTAAGAAATCTTTATGACAAAGATGTTTCACATACATACATATATACATACAGTGTATATATGTACATACATATGTACATATATACTGTATGTGTATATATATATGTACATATACGTACCTGCTGTTATTTGTCTATTTCTGTGATGAGGGCCGAAGTCTAAACTGACACCACTGTTGCCGCTAGTATTTATTAACGCAATAAAACAATGCCATAAATCGTTAGCTCGACTTGTTTACGACCGACTCCAACTGTTAATCTCAAGTGTCTGTCTTTCTTTGTTCAGCTGCAGGGTCTTTGTCTGAGCCGCAACTTTTTCATGACAAACCGCCCTGTGGGTCGTTCTGGGAAATATCAGCCAAAGAGGTACTAATAATTGTTGAATGGCATAATATTTTTAGTACGCGTTTGTGCAAGCAGAACAAATGTGGGCTCATGGAAAAGTTGACAGTTTGTGTTTTTATTTCACATTCAGCTATATATAACATTGTACTGTTCTAATGTGTTCCATTTATACACCAAATATTTATGATATAATATGAAGTATTGTTTCCTGGGGGTTGTTGGCTGTAAATATTGTTTTGGTGTAGTAGGTACAGTGTAGTAATGTTTACTATATATTGAATACTCATGTTTTCAGCTGATTGAGTGTGAATGGTTCCTCAGAATGGTTTTTGGATATGTTTGTCCTCAGAGGTGTGTGGAGGAAGCTGCATCTGGACCCAGGTAATTATGTCATCCTGGCGTCCACTTATCGACCAAACCAGCAGGGAGACTTTTTTGTCCGCATTTTCTCCAAGACTGGAAACACTCTCGGGTAAGACTCCAGGAGTGTGATATCGGAAACTAAAAACTGACTGAATGATGAAGACCTGTATTTTAAACTCATGTAACACCAATGCCAATTAATATCAAAACAACTCTGTGAGTAGACCGAACTGTTTGAAAGTGTACTAAGACCTGGCTGTGGTCCCACAGGTCTCAGGACTTCACCTGCTCCTCTGTCTACCTTCCGGTGACTTCTGTTGTTTGTTTCATAAAATAAAAGCAAATACAAGGCAATAGAATTGCATGAAAAAAAAACAACTTTAATTTATTTCTGTTTTTCATGAACAGGTTATGGCCGCACCTGTCTCTTTAGGGGATCAAAGAAGAGTCCGGAAGACTTTTGAAGAGTTTGCTGGACCTGTGAGACGTTCTGACTTTTACAATCACTAATCAATGAATATTGACAGGGGTGCTGCCAAGAACTCTGGAAGGATATGACGATGGGTCGCTTTGTACCACACAATGAATATATTTCTTGAATTGTCCCAATTTTTTAAATTGCTGATAGGATAGGAATGGTTATCAGGCACACTGTCCAGTCACGTAGCACAGATTCCCCTGTATACCACAAGAGGGAGCCCAAATGCCATCACTGGTACACATATCATAGTTTGAGAACCTCTGCAGTAGAGTACATATTTTACTCAACTAACCTTCTGGAAATGCATCGACAAAATCAAAAAATCCTCAAAAACATATATTTCAACTGTATTTAAAGTTTTCTTAAACACCATGAACTGATTATTTCTGTCATTTGCAGGATGGTCAACTGGACAGTAAGGAGCTGATGAAGCTGTTGAATTCAGGTTTGAATAATTGATTTAAAAATGACATGCGTTAATGCGTCATGACCAAAGAGTTAAATAAATGAACAACATATTGGGCAGAAAAGACCTTGGCCAAACGTCCTTTCATCGTGTTCTGAAGTGACTATGTAATAGCGATGGTAGCCACTAGATGGCTCCCAAGAAGCGGTATGTGTCTTGGAGGTTCGTCAGAGCCTTAGATAGAGGTCATCAGTCTAGACAGAGGCTCCCAGCAGCAGCCTGCTGCTGTAAATTGAGCTCCGCTGCATAATAAAAGTGACTACAGTTGACTTCACCTTCAGCTTTGCATCAGCTTTAATGAAATTCAAGCCCATATTTTCTGCCCCCTCATTAATGCCTGCCTGTTTTGGCCTGATCCTAGGTTTGGACAAAGATTGTCAGCTGCCTGTGGAGACGTGCAGACAGCTCATCTTCGCAGAGGATGTATCCTTCTGTGTTCATATTGTTTTCTTTACACCCTCCTCCTCCTCCTTCATCTGATTATTGTTTTTGTGTGTGTCACAAACCATTGAATTGATTCATAAATCCCCGTTCTTCTTTTTACCTGATCTTGTTAAAATGCCGACCACATGAACTTCTCTATCTTGTTGAAATCTTCCTCCTTGTTTCCTTGAGAACTTCTTAACCCTGCTTTAGACTAAAGGACAAGCACGTCTCGACCGTAAACAAGCAGAAACCATGCTGTCCAGTGTGCAGAATCTCCAGGTACCAATCGCTGGGTGTGTGTGTGTGTGTGTGTGTGGGTGTGTGTGTGTCTGTGTGTGTGTGTGTGTGTGAGAGAGAGAGAGATCGAGTGGTGAACCTGTACTTGGTACTTTGCAGGTCCCTGCTAAGTGGTGATTAGAGTTGGGCTCTTATTATAATTATTAAAGGGCAAGGCAAATCTATGATGTGTATGTGAAGTGCCCACATTTATCTGTAATTCAGTGCACTCGATGCAGCAGTAAGAAGTCAGAATCTGACATAGTTGTTGGTCTCGTCTGTGACTGAGAGCTGTAATGATCCTCTGTCCTCAGTAATCCACTGCTGCCGTCTCTGTCAGTCTCTCTTTTTCCAGTTTGATGAAGACTCCTCTGGGACGATGAGCCCGTTTGAGCTGAGCACAGCACTGGAAGCTGCTGGTGAGAACCTGAAGCCAACTGTGGCCGTCCACAAATGTCACCAGATTTGTGCTGTTTCATTTTAGTGTGTGTCCATGAAATGACAAATGTACAGCAGTGTTGGGCGGGTGGGTGTTTGAAGCCAACGCCACTACATGTTTGTTCTCCATAATCTTCTTTATCATTTGAATTATTAACCTCAATGGGATTTTCCTGGTTAAATAAAGAAAAAACTAAACTAAATAGCTGTAAATACTCAATACTTTTTTTGCCTTTTCCATGTACAAATTGACTCTCGCCCTAACAGATGTTTTTTTTCACACCTTTCTGCACTTGTGTTTCTCCAGGAATGAAATGCGATGGAAAAGTGATTCAGCTTCTCTCTGAGAGGTTCTCAGCTGGACAGCGTAACATGCCCTTCCACACTTTTGTGTCTTGTTTCACCAGGCTGCGCAAACTCTTCGGTAACAAATGCACTTAATCTCTAACAACAGCGTATATAATGCTGAGTGCTGTTGATCTGAACCCAAAACAAATCTAACGAGACATTTTTCAAATGATTTATCTTTAGCCATGTTTGATGCAGAGACCAACGAGGAGGTGAAAAACGCTGGGATCAACGCTGTGAGTATCCAAGTTCAAATCTTCAACGACTTCCCACTTAACCTGGTGACATTTTGACCTCTTCTCGATGCTCTTGCTGCTCTGTCACCTCCACAGTGGCTCATCAAGTTCCTGACACTGTGAGGATGATCTACACCTGAGGAGCCGACAGAGTCAGAAACCTGAACGCAAATATAAAACTGCATTATAAACTCGTCTTTTCTCATTACACTAAAGCCATGTAGCTAAATATATTAGTGTTCCTTTAAGCTTCTTTCATGTATCGGCTTGACCTTATAAATGTTAAAACACGGTCCAAACAGGGCAATAAACAACCACTGACTGCATGAGCAAAGACTGTGTATGATGCTGTATAAGCAAAATGATCGTTTATTACCATATTTCCTCTAATGTAGTTTTCCAAATCTCTCCAGTCGTCTACGAACGCGACTGAAATCGATGGCCGACCTAAAGATCCAAACTTGAACTAATCCTTGTCAAACTTGCTCTCTTCTAGAATATTCTTCTCACTCATCCTCCATATTTACTGTTTAGTATCAGTATGTTGTGACAGTGGCTGAGTCCAACAGACAAGAGGCAGAGCTGCAGATGCTGAGATTCTCCTCTGGAGTGATGACCACATCAGAGTAACAGCTGATGTTGGTGATGAAGATGAGAGGCTGGAGAGGATGAAGCTCATAAAGGTGGTGGAGATGGAATGGATGGAAGGAGATGAGCTGCTGTGGTGAACCTTGGAGGTGCAGGCAAATACAGAAGTTACAAAAGAGAGAGAGAGAGAGAGCGAGAGAGCAGCTCTTCAGCACCGTACCACTCATGAAAAATAGTTTTCCGGTGACACTTGAATGGAAGGACACACGTAACTGTTCTTACACAAGTAAAGAAGACTCACAACAGCGCCATCACTTTACTCATCCAGACGCACATGAGCGCCCCCTGCTTCATATCTGTGGACACACATGTGCACACACACACACACAAAGTCAATCAGTGAGCACTGCCTGCCCCACAGAGGGTGTGAGTGTGATGTCTCAGCATCGTTACACGCACCAACTCTATTCTTATCGCACTGACGCCACGTACAGCGTCAACACACTCCTCCACTACGTTCCTCTCTCTTTATCCATCCTATCTCTCTTTTCTCTGCCCCCACTCCCCCGGCCCCCATCCCTCCCAGTATTCTCTCGTAATAGTCTGAGTCTCACCAGCTACATCCTCCTGTTACACACTGCTTCTCCTGGTCACACACACACTAGCAGCAAGCAAATGTCCTTTTCTACACATGCTTCTATAAATAGCACCTTTGCACTCACACCACTTCCTGTTCACGGTAGGTGAGTACACACAGGTTGCCCTCGGCAACCATCCATCCACATTGTGATGGAGAGCAAAGACAGGAAGGACCTGCAGAGAGGCACTCATTCTTTACCTTCACCTGCTTCAATGTTAGGTCTCTCTCTCTCTCTCTCTTTCTCTTTCTGTAATATATCTATATACATTATTTTGTATTTTCTAAATGTTGAAATGCTGTTCACCACTGTACATCTCAGCAGCCTGTTGTGTGAGCCTGAGCCTCCGCGTTCCTCATGACATGATGAACTGAGTTGACCTCCAGGGGCACTCAGAGGCAAAGTTTGATGTTTTTTTTTTTTTTCACCGGTAACTCAGCAACCGACTGCTACTCAAAGGTTAAATTAGTACCACGTTCTGAGAAAAAATGTACTTTTTTTAAGATTGTTGGCCTGACTTTAAAGCTACAATTGCCACTTAAAAACAGACTACAAATGGACGGATTTGCATTGAGCTCACACAAAACCACAGGGGAACCTATTTTGGTTCCATCTCTTAGAACAACCTCTGTTTTCTTGTAAATAGTACTTGAGAGATTTCAGTCAAAATGAGTGCAGTCAGTTCTTTTAATTAAATTAGAACTCTTAATAAACTGCACTTAGGTCAACAATGCCTATATATATGTGTATAATTTGCACATTGTTACTCAATTTCAACTCTGGTCTTTCATTAATTTTTCTCCCACCTAGTCCTTTTCATGGTCTTCGGAGTTGACTCAAGCAAATCCCAGCATTCATTGAGGGGTGCAGTTCTTTTTTTTCCGATTTATAAGGTTTAATGCTCTTAGCTAGGGGTGTCAAACATATGGCCCGCGGACCAGAACGGGCCCACTAGGTGGTTCAGTACGGTCAGCTTGATACATTTTGAAAATGAAGAAATGCGTAAAAACACTTCATGTCTGAGATGTTTTGTCAAATTAAGTAATTAAATATGAATATTAATTGATAATATCAATTCCATTCATATTAATAACAATAATAATTATTATTATTATTTACAGCTATTTATGTTAAGATTGTACTGGTCCAGCCAACTTGACATTTAATCAGGTTGTATGTGACCCCTGAACCAAAACGAGTTTGACCCCTCTGCTCTAAGCACTCATTCCATCCAAAAGTGGCCCCCACTGTTAGTCAGTCAAAAGCTTTTAACTAAAGCAACCAATCTGTGGACAAGTAATCTATGCTCTTTCTTCTAACCCCTCAATATTTTCTTTCTATTTCTGTTGATTTTATTCCCACTCAACAGAATCTGCGCTCATCCATCCACCTGCTACCCTTTCTCACCCCCACCCTCAAATCATCCTGTGGGCTGTGAGAATGCTCTGACAGGCATGGCATCTGTTCTTGGAGGTGCTGGTAATTTTGTGCCACAGCAGCGGGGGCTGCTCCAGGAATAGCAGCGAGTTGTAGAGTATAGTGTGGAGGTGGAATCTGGTGAGGGCTACAGTGATTTGAACACTGGGAGACTTGAACCATCATATAGACAGGAGGGAGACCATGGAGGATTGCGTAAATCCCCGTCGCCCCCCTCATCTCCAAATGTAGCTTGGACTCAGTCATGCATAAATATTATGAGCAGTACTATCTCTGTCGTCAGAGCCGCGGTATTTAAAGGTATGAGTGTGTGTTTATTTGCATGTCACGTAGATCCACGACTAATTTATTTGCGATGACTTAGAGTACAACACTGCCCCCCCCTTCTTGGCTGAGTTCTTCATCCTGTTTTGATATTTATTTTTGAAATGGCACATTTTAGTTGTTGCCAATGCCCGGGTTTGTCACTATGACAGGCTGCTCCACGGATGTTTACTGAAATCTGACATAGATTCACACGAGGAATGTGGGAGGGAAAAAAATACATTTTCCCATTCAAATTAAATGAATCTCCAAGAAAAATTACATTACAACAAGTCACCGCAGTGATATGATTAAGGAACTCCACATTTTCAAAGGAGATCTAACAAAATGAGAGACAAACGTGTGGTCCAGATACTAGTCTTCATTTGTGTACTCACTGATATCACATACCTGTACAGATACTTCTTAATGTTGGGTTTCAAAATATAGTTTGATGAACTGGAACGGAGTGTTGGTGGCACAGGTCTGTGGATGACGTGTGTGTGTGTGTGTGTGTGTTTCCTTCTCATAAACAGAAGCCCCCCTTAGCCCCCCCTCAAAAAAGAAAATACACACAAAATGTTGATTGAAGGGTCATTGAAAATTTGACTCAGGAAGGATTTAGGAAATGACTAAATGTTCTCCCTTTAAGGAGCTGGCACTTCACATCCATTAAGATTAAATGAAAATGACTTTAAAGTAAAAAATCTGCAGTAAAACAAAAATCATAGATCGCACTCATCTGCACTAATGCGTGAGTGAATAAGTACATGAAGAGGAGAATCAATTAAAAAGGAGAAATAAAGCAGATGAAAAGGAGCAGGAACTTCTGTTGGACAGCTTATAATGAGTGGTTAATTAAACTAAATACAGACATGGTAATGATTTTATATTTTTAAAAATGATATACAGTATGTAATGAGACATCACTTCACATACTTAGCCACCGGACACAGGAGCTGTAAAGGTACAAAGACAAAGAAGCACGTTGAGACCTCGTGTGAAAGACGGAGCGTCCAGAAATCTCCAAAGATGGAGTTCCCTGATGGGAAAATCACTGAAGGTGTTTTAACTGAATGATACGCACAGAAACAGCTTGGCTAACCCTTGTTCTATAGTGAGTAATTACATTTGAATTTAGGAGGCGAGCATTGAACGTAAAAACAAAAAAGAGAATGATAGAGGGGGCGATGTCCACCATATTGACTCATTGGTGGGTCACTAACCCTTCCAAAGAATTCTATGGAAAATGAGCTAATCCTAAATTTCCCTAAGGGAACTCCCGGGAGATTAATAAAGTGCTATCTATCTGAGTAATTGTGACACAAGGACGTCACTGAAATTCCAGTCCAGGACTACAATGTCCAATACAACAACAAAGAAAACATTCTAATCTAATCTAAACTAAACATTTAATTGTATCTGATCTAATTGTTTCTTATGTAATTGTATCTAATCTAATCTAATCTGACCTGATCTGATCTAATCTGATCTAAACTAATCTAATTGTATCTAATCTGACCTGATCTGATCTAATCTGATGTAATTTAATCTAATCTGATCTAATCTAATTGGATCTAATCTGATCTAAAGAAATCAAGTGACGATGTAAGTGAAGTTGAAGTGCAGGTGTCAACGTTGAACGTATCCTTTTATTGCTGTGATGTTTCATCCTCCACTTGTTCCATGAGCCACACTCATGTCTTAGAGGAGACACTTCATCAGTCTGTCCAACACTGGTAACACTGCCAGATACAGACTCACAGAGAGGCAAAGGCCCTCACAGGGCCAATGTGGGGCACAGGTGTTAGGAAGAGGAGGAGGAAGAGGCTCAGGAGGAGGATGACGAGGAGAGGGGAGTACAAAGTGTGGGAGAAAAGGGCAACGAGGTGACAGGGATGACGAGGAGTCAGGGAGTCACGCTGGTTTGTGTCTTCCTGTCATGTGCAAAGAACACGATTCTTCTGGAACCGTCGCCTGCTTTTTTTTCTTTCTTCCGTTTTTTCCCTCCCTCTTTATCAGAGCTCACCCTGTAACAGTCCCTTCCCTCACCCACTCACTCCTTTTATTCCTACTTCTTTCTCTGTGCCCTGAAAACTAGGGCATTCCTTATGTAAGCAGGGACGTAAATGTGGGGAGGGGGAATGTGAGTAAAGAAAAGCAGCTTCAAACCAAGGCTGATGTATGGAGATAAGGGAGAGAGAGAGAGAGAGAGAGAGGAAGACCCCAACGTTTGTGGCTGATGTTGGTTTACAAGGTCTTTGTGGGCTGCCTGGAGTGACCCATTGAAGGCTGCGCACAAAAGATTGAATCCTTTTTCAATATTATTTTTCTCTCATTGTCACCGACTGTTTGTTCATCATTT